GCCATCGGAAAGTCCCACTTTAATAACTGGTCACCGTAAAAGATTAAACGACGTCCCCATTTTCACTTTATAAACCATCATGTGACACAAGCATTATCAGTTTGGGCTTTGAAAGCTCCCAGTTTGCGAACTGTTCTTTTCTGTACTATAAACTCTAAGTAGGATTTTATTGATCTGGTTTCCATGGTTACTGTTCTGGATTTTTGACGCCTGCCTCCATAATCACACGACACTCTTGGAAGTTGATTCATAGCTACATACTTTGTGGGGTTTTGTCACAGCCTATATGTCTCTAAAATATACTTGGTTAGTTTGGGTTATTTTCACCTTAAAAAAATAAGACTCTACACATTGTTCTGTGATGCTTTTACTTCCCCTCAGACTGACTTTCCTAACAGTCATCATGCTGATAAGCCCACCTCCAGCTCACTTTGTATTCATTTCTGTGTCAGATCCCATGCTGTGACCATCTTGCTAATTCTTGCACAGCCAGCTCCTGGGGCCCTTCGGGCCTACGCCCTGTTTGGGCTTTGGGAATCCTGTTATGAGTCTTCAGGAACGCTCACTGGGCTTGTCCAGGGCCTACCCCACAAGTGGGGCTGATGTGTCGTAAGGCAAATGAATCTTTGATCTTATCAGAGAATGCCAAACTGCTTTCCACATTGGCCGTGCTGCCTCATGATGTTAGGGCTGATAGAAGTCGAGAGATGCCCTTGAGATCAGCCCTCCGTCTCTGCGAGTTTGACATCCCCAGATACAGAGGGCCAACTACACAGAAATGGGGAAGACAGCATGGGAACCCATGCCCAGCTCCAAGGTCAAGCTCTCTCCCCCACTTAATTGGTCTAATTGATCACTGAATACAAAGTAATGATTGATAAAAAACAAGGTCCTACTGTAGAGCCTAAAGAACTGTCAATATCCCGTGATACACTGGGATGGAAGAGAGTGAAAAAGAACACACACACACACACACACACAGACACATACCCACACACACACATACACACACAAACACATACACACACACATACACATACACACACACATACCCACACACACACACACACACATACACACACACACACACACACACACACCCACACACACACACACACACACATACCCACACACACACACACACACACACACATACCCACACACACACACACACACACACACATACCCACACACACACACACACACACACACATACCCACACACACACACACACACACACACACACACACAGGGTACAAGGCGACCACCCCGCTGTGCAGCAGACGTGAACACAGCATTGTACATCAACTGTACTTCAATCAAACAATAACGACTTTGCAGTCCAGGCAGTGTCCAGGGCACCTTTCTGAGTGATTTATTAACATTCTGTGAGAAAGGTACTGCTCCATTAGCAACCTGTCCATTCAGAGGAAGAAGTCAAGGCAGGAAGAGATTAGAAAACGCGCCTGAGGTCAAGTCAGCACCAGGGTTTGAGCCCAGGTGTTATAGCAGTGGTGACCGCATCCTTCGGTACCAAGGATACAGCCAAACTAGCCATTCATTCAGCACCCACTCTGAGCTGGGTACATGAGCCATGTGTTAGGACTACGGAGGGAAATGAGGCCTGGTTCTTGCCCACAAGATCTTTCCTAGATCTTGTCTGATCTAGGAAAATCAGACAACTAATCTTCACACACAAAATGTGTGATGAGTGTTGGGAAGAAAAAATAAAAGGACTAATTTACATACTTCTCTAAAGAAGTAATGCCCTGGCATTTAAGCCAAGATCTAAAATGTCCATAAAGTTAGCCAAGGGAAGTGCACGTATAGGTGTATATGTGCATACGTGGGAAAACAAAGGCGGTGAGGGGAGGGGTCAAAGGGAGGAGAAATGCAAAGGCCCTGGGGCAGAAGAGTATCTGGGGTGCAGTGACCCAGAACGGGGTGAAAGAGGAAGGCAGGAGCTAAGAGTTGATTATTTGTTGAGGGTCCAAGAACTTTACGCTAATCTCATGTGCCCATCCCCACCCCACCACCGGACCCCTCTCAATTCCCTGCCACTAGGATTCTAGAGAAAGCAGCTGAGGTCGTCCTAACCTGGAGTCTTTCAGCTAAAGTCACAGGCCCTGAAACAGTTGGATTCACAACGCAGACAACGTCCTGCGTCCAGGTGAGCCTGCCCCTCCTGGTGAGGCCTGAGGAGCAGGACCCCAGGGGGCTCCAGAGGTGTTCACCATGAGCGTAGTATCAAAGAGCTTAGCAGGCCTCTGACCAGGGACCGTTCCTCCCTGACAGGAGTCAGTCAAGTAAAGTGAAGTCGCTCAGTCGTGTCCGACTCTTTGCGACCCCACAGATTGTGGCCTGCCAGGCTCCTCTGTCCATGGGATTCTCCAGGCAAGAATACTGGTGTTGGTTGCCATTTCCTTCTCCAGGGGATCTTCCCGACCCAGGGATCAAACCTGGGTCTCCAGCATTGCAGGCAGACGCTTTACCCTCTGAGCCACCAGGGGAGCCCACTCACACGAGAGGTGTACGGACACAGAAGCTCCAAGAAGGGACAGAGACGCAACATGAGACTCTAGTTCAGGCCAAAGGAGACGTCCTGGGCTTGAATCTCAGATTTGCCTCTTGTGGGCTTCCCTGATGTCTCAGGAGGCGAAGAATCTGCCTGCAAAGTGGGAGACTCAGGTTCGATCCCTGGGTCAGGAGGATCTCCTGGAGAAGAACATGGTAAGCCATTCCAGTATTCTTGCCTGGAGAATCTCACACACAGGCGGGTTACAGGCCATGGGGTCACAAGGAGTCAGACACAGCGGAGCGACTCACACTTCCACTAACTTTGCTTCTCATTGGCTCTGTGACCTCAGGGAAGTTACTCAACCTCTCTGTGCCTCTACTTCCCATCTGCAAAATGGGAATAATCACGAGACTGACCTCTCAAGGTTGTCATGAGGCTTCAAGCAAGTCAGTCAGCAAAGGCTTCCGAGTTTTCCAGGCGGAGCAGCCACTGGGGCCTGGATGATGCTGGGGGAGGTGACGCGGTCAGGGCCCAGGTCCACAGCCCTTCCCGCCCCACCCCTCACCCCTCGTGGGACACCCAGGGGGGCAGGGGGTCCCGGCGCAGCTGGGAGTGTGCTCAGGAGCTCAGCCCCCGCAGAGGGGCCCAGTGCCCCACGGAATCCACCTCCAGGGCCTCGGCACTGGCGGCAGGCCCGGAGTCCGCGGAGGGCGCTGGTGTGGAAGCATTTTAATGTTTTTTGAATACATAATCTGGGATTAGATGCCGATTCACATGACCTTTGTCCGCTCTTGCCTGGAGCCACTGCAGTAGGAGTTAATAAATACTGGAGGAAATGGGAAGGCCGGCAGGGTCCAGGCTTGGGCCGGGTGGGAGGGAAGCTTTATGCCCCAGGGGGTCATACGTTCCCTCTGCCTGAAACACTTCTGGTTTCCCTCTGCTCACAGCAGACAGAGGTCCTGGTCTAGATGCTCAGCTGGATACATCAGGGATGGTCTGGCTGATGTTCCTGAAGTCCAGCGCTGTTTCCTGCAACAGCCTGTCTCAAAGAGGGTCCTAAATCTGGGGAACAAACCACCTGTTTCGTTTTCAGAAAAATGTTCCATGCTGGTTCTCCAACTGTGTCAGCAACAGCACCACCAGGAACTAGTGACAAATGCCCAGGCCCCACCCTGGGCCTAGAGAATCAACACCTGGGCGGAACTCTGCCTTCTGCTCCAGCAGCTCCCCAGGGGACCCTGAGGTGCCCCCAGGGAGGTCAGGGAAGATTCGAGAAGGGTGGGGAGGCAGGATGAGGCAGGAGCCTGGGGTCAGGCCCCCACTCCCCTCATGCCCATCCGGCTGGCACTGTGCCCGGCGTCAGCTTGCCCACCTGGAGTGGGGACATGACAGCAAGTCCCTCACCTGCATCTCATGACTGGTCTAAGAACCAGTAAGATGCCACAGATGAGAACACTTCAGAAGTCTAAGTGCCTGGTCCGTGACATTGATTAATGCTGCCTGTCAGCCGCCGCTCCACTTCCCCACCCCTCCACTCATGACCTGGGAAGGGCCAGAGCAGCGGTCTGTAAGTCACACGTTTCCCCCGTGGAACCCCTGGACAGCCTCAGGGGGTCCTGAAACCTACCCTTGAGCAGAACTGTGAGAGTGGAAGGGGGGCATTCCCCTGGAGAGAAGGTCGTTCAGATCCCAAGCCAAGCCCCGCTGATCCTCAGCCGTGGCCGCTGAGCACCCAAAGCCGGCGCAGGGGCTTCCTGGCAGCCTTGGGGTCAGAGGGGCAATGGCAGCAGGGGTCAGAAACCCAAATGCCGAGACGGCACGTCTGCTCCGGAGAAGTGGGAGCTGGGCACCAGGCCCCGGGGGCGGGGAGGCGGCATGGGGGCGCTCAGCTGCCTGTGTCCCTGCGCCCACAGCAAAGCGCCGGGCTGCAGCTTCACTTACGACTCTCACGGGCCCTCCCAGCAGCTCCACGAGGTCTGACTCGGTCAGGTTTATCCACGAGAACAGTGGCCCCAGGGGGCGAGGGAGGGAGCAGAAATCTGAAGCCAGCTCTTGATTTTTGTACCAATCGTGAGCTCGCGCCCAGTGGGCAGGAGGTGGGCCGCAGGGCAGAAGGGGCTCACAGTCACCAGGCGGGGAAACTGAGATGCGTCACAGAACTGAAGACTCACAATCGCTCCTACACCCAAGTGAGGCGCCAGAGACGGGGCCAGCGCCCTTAGGTCGTGCACCTGTTCCTCCTCAGGCCTGCAGCTGACAGGGCACCCCCAAACCCTTCCCCCAGAGTTCTATCCTGCCTCCGGCTGTTCTTGGCCCCTGGCCCCTAGGGCACGGGCGTCCCCCTGCAGTCCCATCTACTGACCTCATGAGATCCCCAACATAGCCCCAGTCCTTCAGAATGTGGCCTTGTTCTGACGTCCCAGAGACGCGATGTGCTACCTACAGGGCACGGCAGCAAGAAAGACCGCTTGGATGTCAGAAGTTGAATTAAGTCTCATTTATTCTAGGGCAAACTCAAAAGGGTTTTTGTGTTTCCTTTTTTAGCAAATCCTAGCACATTATTAACAAAAAAAGAAAATCTGTACATTTGCCATGATACACTTGAAAGTGAAACAAATAAGATATAAATACAGATATGGATGTAACATGAAAAAGCCCCCAAAAAAACCAAAACCAACAAACAAAAACCCAACCTGGGGATGTGGGGTACCATGCGTGTGAACAGTGCCAACAAAACTATTTTGATGGTGGCTATTTTTCAGAGCGTTGTTCTCATTTTCAAATATCATCGTTAGCAAAGTCTTGGTGAGGTTCTACAAAGTTCTTATTTGCTCTTCTTTACTGTGTAATATTATGCTTGATAAATAAAGGGCAGCGGGGAAAGAAAAAGATTGAGGAGACAAATCAGGTGCAGCTGCATTGCCTGCATGACTGAGAAGCTAGTGGGGCTATGGCAGGCGCCTGTGGCTACGGTGCCCCAGGAAGGCGTCAGCCTCCCCCGGGCCACAGTGCGAGGGGAAGCAGGAGCCAGGCGCCCTGGCCCAGTGGTGGCGTCGGCGGGCTTCTCGGGGGCCCGCACAGTCAGGCGAACGGGGGAGGCAGACGGAGTTTTGGGAGCTTTGCTCGCTTGTGTTCTGCTGTTTCATCCAGACAGGAGGCCTGCAGGGAGGCGGCGGCCAGGCAGGGCAGTTGCAGCTGTTGGTTGGAGGAGGTGGCCCCCTGAGGTTGTGGCTGCATGCGAGTCTCCTCCCAGGAGGCCCAGAGACCTGGGTGTGGCGGCTCCCTCTGGGGTGGGAGACCAACGTTGGGCAAGTGACATTCAAGGCGAGCCCTTTGTGAGCGCCAGGAGGACACGCGGCCATGCTCAAGGTCCTTCCCGACTCCGGGGTAGGGGGCCACAGCAACCTGGGTGTCCACAAGCTGAAGGAGAAAGGCCTTTCTACACACACTAGGCAGGAAAAAAGACAGTTTCTGCCCCAGAAGAGTCATCAGACACTTGGGACTTGTTTGTAAGGGGTAAGAAAGAGACCCTGAAAGCGACATATGAACAAACGGTATTTATCAATGAAAGTAAGGCCTGGTCCTGCTGTTTTGAGCCAAAAGAGTCAACTATGTTTGATCGCTTAAAACACGCCCCGGAAGTTCTCCCAACAGCAGCAGCAGGGCGCCTCCTACACGTGCAGGATACCCCCTACACACACCCACACACACACCCACACACACGTACAGTGAAGGCACCCCAGCCTCACTGCTCCTGGACCTCCATTTTCAGTGCCTATTTCCAAATAAAGTATCTAAAATAAATTCTGAATGAAAACAAGTTACGTTCTGCTACAGTGTCTTTCACCACTTCCAACAACAAGGTGAGGGGGTCTGCAGAGCTCAGAGGTGGGAACCATACAACCTGGCAGTTGCCAAGATTCTGCACCTGAGCAGCAAACACCTCATTAAAAATTAACATCAGAACAGGCAATGGGAAAAAGAACGGAACAAATTTCCATAAGGAAATATGGAAAAACCAGTTTAGTTTAGAGTCTAAAATATTTACATGATTGCAAAAAGAATTTCCATTTGGTTTGAAGAATTTTACTCGAAACTTAGTTACACAGACTTGAGATCTGTAGTTACTTTTACTGAAGCAATGAAACCCTCAAGAAAACATTTTAAGGGGTAAGTTTCTCACTGAAGGAAAAATAGACTCTAAACTGGTTCAAATCCTGTTTTTCTGCAATTTGCTGCACATCATAATTACTTTTTCCTTAAACCATGATTATTTCAACAGATGATTGAGGAAGTACTTCACAAAATTTTAAAAAATGATCCTGATAACCTGGTCTCTCTAGGTTTTTCTTTGATCTCAATCCCAAATTAAACAAAGTAAAAACGGAGATGGCAGAGCTGCCAACTGTCAGAATGACAGAACACTGGAATCAAGCAGCCTGGGCGCAGCCTGCGGAAAGGAGACCAGACTAGACTTGAGCCTCCAGGGGCGGTGTGTTCCACGGTATTTCCCAGATCTCAGCAGCGAAACCAGCAGCTCCTCTTGTGTTTTCCATGCTGCGTGAAGTCCCACTTCAAGCACACGCTAACTGAGGCTACCGATTGACCTTGATTTCTGTGCCTGGATCTCATTGTCACAGATCTCTGCCCCGCAGCTCTGGGGCAGGGGTGGCGTCAGTGGGGCTGTCTGCAGGAGCCGGGAGCCCATCCTGGAGGAGGCAGGAAAGGGTGCCAGCCCCCAGGCCGCAGAGTGTAAGCAAAAATATCACATGTTCTCTACGAGGCCATCTTCGGGCTTCCTTCCCATTTCTTGCCAAGACTTGATTCATATTCTTAGTAGTCTCAAAATGCAACCTAAAACATATAAAACCCTTTCGTGGTGTCAGTTGTGAAGGGCGTGGGCTCTGCCCCACACAGGCCAGATCCAGAGGGAAGGGAACCAGGATGAAAGAGAAACAACTCAATACAACCTCCTCAAACCTGTTATTATTAACTGAAGAGAAAATGCTACTTTCTACCATGTATTGGCTAGTGAGCTGTGACTTTTAAACCCCACACACGCGGTTTCACAACCTCAGCGGCTGGACCAGACGGCTTGAGTACGGCTCTTCTCTCACTCCTTTTGTTTTGTTCTGTAGGAAGATGAAACACAGGCCTTGCTTCCCTTACATTCAATACCAGTATGATTCTACACAAAAGCTGGAAGGGATCAAAATACTGATTGTAATAAATATGTGCGGGCCTCCTGGTCCTGACTGGGCAGCCGACGGGGGGGTGGGGGGAGTGGCGGGGAGGTCTCTGAGGCACCACCGATTGCTTCCAGGGCTACACAGAGATTCTGGCGTTGCATTAGCTGTGGGTCGAGACGTCGGAGGAGGAGCTGCTGTTGCTGTTCGTGGTCTGCGCCCTCTTTATGTATAAGTTGAGCAGCTTCATCTGCAAAGGAAAAATACAAAGGGATGAGAAGGAAGAAAATCAGAAAGTCAGCAAGAAAGCCCAGGTGATCACAAGAAAACAGCACGTCCCTTAGTGCAGAAAGTCACTGCACAGACATTCCCTAAGTGCCTACCACTCGTCCAGACCGCCTGCCTGGGGCCAGCGGGCGATCGGGAGGTCAGATTAGAGGAGGGGGCCTGAGAGGTTATCAGGAAGAGGGACACGTGATTCCGCGAGGTGGGCCTCAGGGCTGCCTGCAGAAAGGCTCTCCAGAGGCAGACCCACACACTCAGGGGGGCCGCAAGGCAGCCAGTGCGGCTCCACCCAAGCCAGCAGGAGGAGAGGCTGCAATGCCTACTCCACTGGGATAAAGAAACGAAGCCAAGGTCAGAGGTCAGGTTTTCTATCCTCACACCTTTGTAGAAGTTGCTCCTTCCCCATCACACACCTCGTCTGCACCTGCTTCTGTCCACGGACACGACACCTGCTGAGGTACACGGCATCCGAGGCCCACCTTCAGGCTGCCCCCATCTGCACCCGTGGTCCTCCTGCCCCTGGGACCCCGCTCTGCCCACTGTGGCTCAGCATATGCCGCCTTATGCTGGGGGCAGCAGTGGGCTGGATCCTTCCAAGACTCAGTCTCCCAGAGGTCAGATGCTGCTTCACTATACAATATGCCCTCGTTGGGCACAGTGCTTCCCCCAACAGGCCTTCCACGTCTCACATCTCATGTGGTTCTCACTTAAGCCCCCCGGACCCTCAAAACAACTGAAGCAGCATGTAACACACATGGCAGTGGAGTCAAAGTCACTCAGTCGTGTCCGAGTCTTGGCGACCGCACGGACCGTTACACAGTCCACGAGCTTCCCGCACACTGGCGCGGGAAGCCTTTCCCTTCTCCAGGGGATCCTCCCGACCCGGGGATTGAACCCAGGTCCCCCGCATTGCAGGCGGACTCTTTAGCAGCGGGGCCACAAGCGAAGCCCAAGAACACTGGGGTGGGCAGCCTCCCTCTTCTCCAGCGGATCTTCCCGACCCAGGAGTCGAACCGGGGTGTCCTGCATTGTAGGCAGGTTCTTTAACCCACTGAGCTATGAGGGAAAGTTCTTAGATATTTGTTGAATACCAATAACCTGATGTCAACAGTGTGCCTGACCATATTAAGAATAAAAAAAACCAGGTATTTGTAGAAGTAGAATGCCCATGAAGATCTACATAACACAAAACTGGTAATACGATTAAGGGAATTAGGAAATATTTACTGACCACAGCTCTATATTTGCTGTCTCTAAACAGGCTGTGAGGCTGAGACATGTATAAGCCAACCCGTGGAGCAGAGGCGGGTCTTGGGGGGCCATGAAGAGATGCTCAGAGTAGAGCACGTGCTGCAGGAGAAGGCGGGCCTGCAGAAACCAGTGGGAGCAGGCCAGCACCCAGCAGTGCTCCTCACGAGGCGCCGTCTCCCTGAGCCCCAGCAAGGCGCGCAGTCAAACAGACACGGAGCCAGGAAGGTAAGGCTGGTCTGAGAGCTCTGCCCTGCGTGTCCTGGAGTTGGTTGGCTTCATGCAACTGCCCATCTGGGGTCTCCCCACATCAGGACTTAGCTCTTTTCAACTGCAGGGGAGCGTGCCATGAATTCACACTACATATCCCAGCTTGTCTTTCATTCCACACCTTTCAAAATCTTAGACCTTTGAACATAATATTCAGCATGCTGGTCAAGGTGCTTTCTCTTTACACAAGGTATCTTAATGCTCCAAGGCTCAGGAGGATATGACCAGGGTCAACCAGCTTCAAGAGAAACCCTGGTACATTCAACAAAATACTGGCCTGAGGCTCCACAGATCCAGCAGAGTTCTAGAACCAACTCCAACACTAGTTCTGTGACCTCAGGTAAACATTTCCTGAGCCTTGACTCAACCACCTGCAAAATAAGTGATACACCTCCCAGGTAGCTCCCTGCTTAGAAAACATGTCTCCTGAGTACCCTGCTCCTTCTCCCACCCAAGCTGTTCACACTGCTCCTGCCTGTAGCTCATCCTTCCCTCCTTGCCGAGCCAGGCTCAGAACAGTCCCGCTTCCTCCAGGAAGTCTCCCTTTCCTCCTGCTGCAGCAGGCCCCTGACCCAGCACCAGAACCTGTCTCACGGTGCCCACCGGCCACTCCTGGTCCTCTGTACAAGTCCCCTCATGTGCCAGTCCTGATCCTCAGCTCTATCTGATGCTACTTTGGGGGGAACAAGGGTTTGTCTCCCACATGCTGAAGGCCGCAGGTTCCTAATACGCACTTACTGAATCGAATATTTTTTAAAGAAGAAAAAAGTGATCTAGAAAACAGGATAGTTATATTTCTATGAAAGACAGGTTAAAATGAACTTCTAAACATTGTTAATAGTTATTTGCAACTCAGAACCCCTTGTAAGCCCTGAGTTTACAAGCTTTAATCATATTTGAACCTCAAACCAATCCTCTGAGGTAGGAAGAACAGGTTCTCCTGTTTTACAAATGAAATGGCTGGGATTCAGAGAGCTTGCTCAATGAGTTGGTATATATTCAAATTACAGGATTATAACTTTAGATGTCAACTGTAATCCACAAAGAAAACAGGTATAGAATATACACAAAAGGAAATGAGAAAAGAATTAAAATGTTTCAGTATAAAAAGCAAACAAACACACAAAAAATCAATAATACAGAAAATGAGGGGCAAAAAAGCTATTATACATACAGAAAGCAAATACAGAAATGACAGAAATCTCTTCCTTATCAGTAAGTACTTTAAATGTGAATGAGTCAAACTTTCCCATCAAAAGACAGAGATCAGCAAAATGGATTTTTTTAAAAAGCATGATTCAACTATATTTTGTCTACTTGAGACTCACTTTAGATCCAAAGACACAAATAGTTCAAAGTGAAAGAATGGAAAAGGATATTACATGCAAAGAGTAACCAAGAGTACAAGGTAGCTATACTAATGTTAGGCAAAATACAGCTTAAATCAAAAAAGGTTATAAGAAACAGAAAGGTTAATAAAAGATCCACAAAGCAGGAAATTACAATAAATAATGATACATCTAAGAATATACCATCAAAACATACAAAGCAAAAACTGACTGCACTGAAGGGAGAAACAGTTTCACAATAACAGTTGGGAGACGTCACTGCTCCACTGCAGAGGGTTTGAACAACACAATAAATCAACTGAATATAAAAGAAATATGCAAAACCTCTGCCTAAGATGAGACCTTCCCAAGATAGACTATATGTTAGGCCACACATTGAATCTCAATAAATTAAAAAAGAGGTGTCACAAAGTACCTTTTCCGACCACAATAGATGAGGTTAGATTAGTAACAGAAAGAAAACTGAAAAATCCCCAAGTTTGTGGAAACTGAACCACACATTCCAATAACCAATGGGTTGAAGGATAAAACACAAAGGAAATTAGAAAATATCTTGAGACAGATGACAATGGAAACACAAACACAAGGGATGCAGCGAAAGCAAGCGCAGTGAAGGAGACTCATGGCGATATGGGCTACACGGCTTACATTTAAAAAAGAGAGAGAGATATGTGTCAACAGCCTAACTTTACATATCTTAAGGGACTAGAAAAAGAATAAACTGAACTTCAAGCTTGCAGAAGGGAGAACAGTAATAAAGATTAGATAAATGAAAAAAAAAAAATAGAGACAACAAAGCCAAAAACTGGTTCTTTGGAAAAAAAAAGTCAACAAAACTGACAAACCTTTAACTAATGAAAAAAGAGAAAAGACTCAAATTATTGGTCAGAAACAAATGTGGGGACACTATGACTGATTCTACATAAATCAAAGATATGATAAAAATACTATGAGTAACTGTACAAGAACAAAGTAGATAACCAAGATGAAATGGACAAATTCCTAGAAACACAAAACCTACCAAGACTGAATCATGAAGTAAGAGAAAGTATAAACAGACCTGTAACTAGTACAGAGATTGAAGCAGTAATTGAAAGTCCGAGAAGGAAAAGCCCCAGACCAGATGGCTTCACTGGTGAATTCTACCAATATTCAGAGAACTAACACAATCCTCAATTTTTTCTAGAAAATTTAAAGGAAGAAATACTTCTGAATTCATGCTATGAAGTTAGCATTGTCCAGATAGCGAAGTCAGATAAAGATATGAAAACTACAGATCAATATTCCTTATGAACACTGATCCAACATACAAAAATTAATAAATATAATATACCACATTAACAGAATGAAGGGGGAAAAAAAATCAAAGGATCATTTCAATTGACACAGAAAAAGTATCTGGCAAAATTCAATACCTTTTCAAAATAAAAATACCAGACAAACTAGGCATAGAAGGTGTATAGGTGTATTTCGTTTTGCTGTGCTTCACTTTATTGTACTTTGAAGATAATCCTTTTTTCCGCAAATTGAAGGTCTGTGAACACTCTGCGGCAAGTCCATCAGTGCCACTTCGCAACAGCACCTGCTGCCTACAAGTCACTGTCCCATTTTGGTGATTCTTACAATTATTTCAGACTTTTTCATCATTATTACAGTCCTTATGGTGGTCTGTAATCAGTGTTCTTAGATATTACAACTGCAGTTGTTTGGGGTGTCATGAACCATGTCCACATGAAGACAGCACACTTCATCCACAGATGTGTATGTTCTGACTGCTGCACCATCTCCCCGTCTCTCCCCCTGTGCACGAGCCTTCCTATCTCCCCTGAGACACAATACTATTGAAATTAGGCCAAGCAGAAACCCTACGATGGCCTTAAGTGTTTAAGTCAAAGAGTTGCATTTCTCTCGCTAGAAATGATTAAGCTTAGTAAGAAATGCATATTGGAAGTTTAGACAGGCCAAAAGCTAGGCCTCTTACGTCAAACAGTTAGCCAAGTTGTGAATATAAAGGAAAAGTTCTCAAAAGAAACTGAAAGTGCTACCCAGTGAACACACGAATGATAAGAAAGCAAAAGCAAAATAGCCTTACTGCTGA